CTGCACTTCCATGCTATCATTTAGTCTTCCAGTTCACACAAACATGGGCCTTGGAATTCATATATGAAGAAAGGAACTTTTACAACTATTTTCAGTAGTAAGAGCATCTTTAAACAATCAATTAAATGTCCCCTCCATTTTTATTGCCAGCATTGAGTGCCTTCCTCTGATGAATAGCTCATGTCACTAATAATTATTTGTCTCTAAGTATCACTGACCTCTAGATAAAGTAGGAATGACTTTGTGGTATTAATTTCAAGGGGATATTCAGTGTGGCAGGCGTGCATAATTATCCAAAGTTTTCCAAAAGGGAAGGTACTTTAGTAATGATTCTTACATAAAAATAATGAAGTACCATTATGAAAAAATAAAAAAGAAATAAAATGTTAGCATACTTTGTTTATTTATAGCAGTGCTTGTTAGTATTACAGAATGCTAGGGTTTGACTGGCATATTTATGTGTCCATTTTGCCTATGTTCATCTCTTTCAAATTCCACCTACTCCTCCTCCTTTTCCTTTTCCAATCCAGTGAAGCCTGAGTCCCCCAATTGTACCTTCTGGTTTCTTGCCTTTCCTCTTTATGAGTTTGTATTTGCTTTTATTTTCACATAAGAACACATGTTATTTCACTTTTCAGTCTGAATATTTTTACTTACCTTGATGCATTCTAGCAAGTCCAGTTTGCCCAAAACTGATGTGTTTTCATTCTTTACTGCTAGATGATAAAAAAATTACAGAAAATAGTTCTCTAAATAAAATTCAGGAACACAATATCTAATTACACTTACTCCACACTAATCTCATAGCAGTTAAATGTATTTACTTGTCTGGCCTTGAAGTTCTTGGGTTGTTCTGAGAGTCACAGTGGAAAGTAGAGAAAAAAGTCTGACCTTGGCCAGAGCCGAGGTGAGACTTCAGCAGAAGAGCCACAGAAATCAGGCAGCAGCCCTTAATGTCACTTTTACTTTTTTAACTTTCTTTTAATGTCTGCTCTATGTCAGTATTATTTTTGTTAATCTTACTGGGTTTAATTGGCATATTAGTATTTATCATAAATAGTATTCATCAGAAAAACAGTGATTGAAATTCAGCGAGGTGGCATGTGCCTATAACCCCAGCACTTGCTATGGGCTAGAGGACTCCAGCTGGACTTGGGCAAGATATTGTCAGGGGCTCTAGGTCTTCTGCTGACTAGTGCAAGACATTGCTGTATACAGTCCCTCACCTAGCTGCTTTGGGTCTCTAACACATGGACAGATCTCTTGCACTCCCTTGAATTTGACTTTTTTGGTGAATATTACAAAATAATCCTGTACACTACATATTTATATTAAATCATGCTTCCCTTGCAAGCTCTGAATCAAGCAGAAAGCATTCTTGAATAAGGATGAGGAAGGCTTGTTTTGATGTTCCCAAATATATAGAATGGAGATTCAAGTTTTCAGAAGTTCCAATAGACTGAGCATGTGCCTTGTTAAAAGCATCCTGGAATGGTGGGGGGATCCATGGGCCTATTGATGCCCTGTTGAATGTTGAGCAGCATTCCTCTACCTCACTACAGACCCGAAGATTATTGGGAGACAGGTTCTCATGATAACTTGTTACTTCATCACAATCAACGACACAACTGGTAGAGGTGACAATAACTCTTGACTTGAAGTTTCACTGTCAAGGAAATCCACCACCTGCCACATGCCTAGAAATCTACTCAGTGTAAGGTCAAGGCTCAGGTAAGGTGAGTTGTTTCTTTGTCTCCCCACTGAGGTCAATGCCACACAAAGTTTAGGGAAGAAAATGAAATTCATAATCGCAGTCAGATAGGAAGTTTAAATTATTTGTGATTCTTCAGTAACATAGATTCCTGTGCATAATAAACCATGTGGCAATACTCCTTGATAATGAATGAGGACAGGGCCCTGTCCTGTGTTAATGGTTGGTGTGATTCCTCCTGGAAACTGCCCCCTGAAACGGGTCTTAAGTCTTGTCTCTGTGGGAGGGAGCCACAGTCAAGGTGCACTGCAGTAGAAAACATCCCATCCAGCTTTGAAAGATAAGTGAGATCGCAGAAGAACTCAAAAAACAAGAGAGAAAAAGTGTACACATCACTTACTATAATAGGCTGTGATGTGACTTCATTCTGGACTACACTTAAAATCCACACAACCAAGTTCTAAACCTTGTATTACTTAAAACTGAATCATGAATCAATTGGAGAGAGCGTGCTTTTATAAGACAATCTGTTTCTGGAAGCCCATTATCCTATGAATTCCTAAGTGGATTCATCACAGTGTAGTCACCAGTTCCCTCGCTTCTCAGATCCTACTTTTTCTATATTTTAAGGGTCTTCAGGGTGTTCAGGGTTTCACTGCATACATAGATCAGACTCGCAGTGATCCCCGCTTACAACCTCCCAAGAACTGGGATTTCAGGCATCTGCCATCACGACCAATCTCAGTTCTTATTCTGAGGCTGTGAAGAAGGAAGTGACAGAACATATATGTAGCTGGGAATGGCAAGATATATGTTATTAGGATGAACAAAGGGA